ATTTAATGCATCAAACACTAGGCAGCTCATCTTATTTGACACTGGAAGCCATGATCAGGATTCAAATCTAATCCTCTGTGTGTGTGTGTGTGTGTGTGTGTGTGTGTGTGTGTGTGTGTGTGTGTACATGCACGTGCACGCACGTGCACGCCTTTGAGTCAGTGTTGACACCTGGCAACAGCCTGGATAAATCCCTGCAATTCCTTTGATGAGTTTTTATTTAAGAGGTAGTCCTGGATAACTGAGAATTTCCATAGACATTTAAGAGGTACTTTGCCATTCCTTCTTCCCGGGGCTGAGAACGTGTGACTAGCCCAAGGTCACCCAGACTGCTTTGTGCCTAAGGCAGGACAGGAACTCACAATTTCCTGGTCTAGCTTAGTGACTTCACTATTACAACAAAGTGTCTCACTAAATCTTTTCCTTCCCCTTCCTTATGTCTCCCATGGTTTACGAGTGAATTTTCCTTAGATTATGAGGGAGGAGCTTCATCTACTTCTGTCCTACACAAGGCTTTCAATCAAACAATACTGAGCAAATTATACAGAGATGCCCCTAATCTGCTTTAGCAGTTGGAGAATGGATAACGAAAGGAGGGAATTGTTTTCTTGCCAGAATTTCTGAAGTGGTTTTGTCTGCACACCTCATTAGGAGGCAATTGTCATTCCCTTACCTTGCTGTCATGCTTTTGATATTTAGCTCAGAATGACTGAAAATCTAGAACATCTAGATCAAACCTGGAAATGGATAACCCTGAAAAAAATGGCTAGCCTCAAGCCATATTCTAAATGGAAATCAAACCACATTTAAAGTACTGCAGATTCAGAATCCAACAAGAGCTTCAAGTAGGGAATTGAGTAAGGGATAACAAATACACATACCTTGCTTAATAGTAGCAACTATGAGAGGGATCTTGGAATCCTAGTGGACAGTCACTTAAATATGAGCCAGCAGTGTGCTGCAGCTGCCAAAAAAGCCAACACAGTGCTAGGCTGCATTAAGAGAGGGATAGAATCAAGATCATGTGAAGTGATCTTTATACTTTACACTTTACAATGCCTTGGTAAGGCCACACTTGGAATATTGCATCCAGTTTTGGTCACCACGATGTAAAAAAGATGTTGAGACTCTAGAAAGAGCACATAGAAGAGCAACAAAGATGATCAGGGAACTGGAGGCTAAAACATATAAGGAACGGTTGCTAGAATTGGGTATGTCTAGTTTAATGAAGAGAAGGACGAGGGGGGACATGATAGCAGTGTTCCAATATCTCAGGGGCTGCCACAAAGAAGAGGGAGTCAAGCTATTTTCCAAAGCACCTGAAGGCAGGACAAGAAGCAACAAATGGAAACTAATCAAGGAGAGAAGCAATCTAGAACTAAGGAGAAATTTTCTGACAGTTAGAACAATTAATCAGTGGAACAACCAACCTGCCTCCAGAAGCTGTGAATGCTCCAACACTGGAAGTTTTTAAGAAGAGACTGGACAGCCATTTGTCTGAAATGGTATAGGGTTTCCTGCCTGAGCAGGGGATTGGACTAGATGACCTCCAAGGTACCTTCCAATGTATTATTATTATTATTATTATTATTATTATTATTATTATTATTATTATTATTATTATTATTATTATTATTATTATTATTATTATTATTATTATATGCACACACATAAACATATATACATACATACATGCACACACATATACAGCATTTTTGCTCTGTGTCCAATACAAATAGAACAATTATGCTTACTATGATTATAAAAGATAAAATTCTGAAAACTTGGGCTGTTCAGTTTGAATGATTTTGTAAATGAATGATTTCTTATTTCTGTTTTTGTTGTTCATTTCACTAGCTCAGGATCTTATTTTACTAGGGAGAAATGGCATATTTTCTCCCACATAGCTCATGGAAACAAAAGCTCCTTTTGTACATATTAGTTTGCTTAACATCACATATTCAAATGGCTTATTGATTTAATCTATTTTCCAGATTTGCAAAATGCACTGAATCATAAACTAACCAAACCACTTTCTGGATTAACGCAACATAAGCCATATGACAGTAAGCCAGGCTAACCCTTCCCAGATTAACGAGCAAGTGGTGTGAAGGAAGTTGCTAAGTGACTTGATTAAATGTGCAGTGAAAAGTGAGCCAGTGCATATATTATACCAAAAGCAGACATACAAACCTGAATATGTAGAAGGTAGGTTGATATAGTGAAAAAGGCAATACAACATTCAACTTAACCACCACACCCCCTAGCACAACAATTCACACATTCAACAGGGCTAAATGATAGACTGGGGCATCCACTGGGGGATTTCTAAGAAGGTCAAGACTTATCAGGTGTAAACAACCAGAACCACTTGTGAATAGTCTTAAGCATCAGCTTTATTTTTAGTCACCTATATTACAAGAATCTCTCCAGATTAACTGCATTCCCTTGAAATGGTCAGATAAAACTTCAGGGATTCTGGGGCAATAAGGTCTGCACCATTTTCAGCAGTGCAAGGATTCTAAGCTCAATCCTTTTTTAACACTTTCCTCCATTCTAGCTGGAGACTTCACCACTAGATGGTGACCACAGCCATGTGACTGAATCCCTGCTCTTTGGTACAGCTATGCAATACTCCTTTTTGTACAAAATGAAAAGGGCTTCATTTTACCCTCGAATTTCACAAAAGTTGGAAGGTAAGCACCCTATGCAAAGGCTTAGTTTAATTCTACTGTACGAAGTACTATTTTTCAATGACCATTTTTTTTATTCTATAGTTGAAAAATTCAAACAAGTTGACCTATGTCAAATTCAGCAATTTGTAATTCAGCCTCAGAAACATTAAGATTAAATATTTTATTCTCACACAGCCAATGAGAAGCAAGATGACAGCAAATCTGAAGGTTATAAAAAACAAAGGACAGCGAAAAACACACCAGCAAATAAACAAACAAACTGCAAGGCAGTTTTTTTTTAAAAAATAGCACATGTTCTTGAATCACAGTAATTGCTGAAATCTTTGATAATGGCTTCCTACTTTATTCAATAAAGATTATTTATCTGTAGCCCCTAAGTTTCTTCGGAATAGGCCTAAGGGATTTATTTCTTCCTATAAAGTGAAAGGATATCTAGAGATATTGCTATGAAGATTCACTTAGCAATGTTCAATAAATCTTGGCACTGTTTAATAAATCCATTCCTTACACAACCTATTGTTGAATGGCTATGTTCACAAACACACTTAACCTGATCACTGAATAAATCCATTCCTGAAATTGCATGATACATTTTGGCACTACAGCTAAGCAAATAGGATGGGTTTGCACAGCGCGCTTGACAAAGATACATCTTCCAAGTTAACACTAATCAAATCAATATTGTGTGGATGTTCCAAGCAGAACTTTAATGGACTTGGTTAAATGCATTTTTATAAACACAGCCTAATTTCCTCCATAAAAGACCAGCATTATCTTTGCAAAATGTACTTCTGGAAAAAGAACCATTATCAAACAATAAAATTAATGCAGAAAGGCAATAAATAAGCCATTAAGTAGAAATGTTCAGTGGCAAATAAATTGATAGAACTCACTTGCCTATATACTGTATACAGTGATGCTTAGAAGTTTGGGAATCTTTTTGAATTTTCAGTGTTTCACATCTAGGATAAAGGTCTTATGCTGGAAGTGTTTGCCTTTTGCCAAGCATAGCACTTCTCATCCAGCCAAAATATTCTATTTTAATGTCATTGGTTCACAGAACATTCTTCCAATGTTCTTCTGATATATCTGCATGATCTTTTGGAAATCATAGATGAGACTCAATCTTCTTTTTGGAGAACAGTGACTTTCTCTCTGCAACTTGGCCCTACAGCCTATTGTTGTTCAGTGTTCTACTAATGATAGTCTCGTGAATATTGACATTCACCAATATAAGAGAAGCCTTAAGGTTTCCTAGATATTACTTTTCTTTGAGTCCTCCTGGATTATTATATATCTTGCTCTTGGTGTGGTTATATTCAACCAGTCCTGAGAATGGGAAACTAACAATGTATTGAATTGCTTCCATTTATATACAATTTGTCTGACAATGGTGGAAATACCTGTGAAGTCTCCTTTATTTGAACCATGACATGTTTCCACATACTTGGGTTGTGAAAACCAAACTTTGATAACAAATATCCAAAATTCTGTTCTTTAAACAAGGCAGGACCCCCACACTCACACCTGTTCATTGGAACACCTGACTCTAATTTCCCCTTCAAATGAAGTGATAATCTGAGAGGTTTACATACGTTTATCGTGCATACATATATAGCTTTGGATCATTTCCCTCAATAAATAAATGAGCAAGTAAAATATTTTTGATTCATTTGTTTAATTGGGTTCCCTTTATCTACTTTCAGTATTTGTGCAGAGAGCAGATCATATTTTAAGTCATATTTATGCAGAAATATTGAAAATTCAAAAGGGTTCACAAACTTCTACCACACCTACAGATATTCAACAGGTCATTTCTATTGATGTATATTCTCACAATGTGAAAAAAAATCTTGCTGTCGAAAATGAAACATTATTAATCATCCAATGCATGATAAATATATGGTAGTTGTATGTCATCTTCCACTGATGATCATTTCTGTCCACTAATTTGGTTAGAAAATTTGAAATTACCCCTTAAGCTACAGTATGATTAAAAAGTGATGAGAAAAAGATATATTCCCTCAGAGAAAGAGACATTTTATCTAGCTTTGGACCCAATGTGGCTGCAAAGTCTTGCTTTCTCCCTATTCTGAATTCCTTATTTTTGGCAGAAGATTCATATTCCAATCTACCTGATAGAAGTTTTGCTGTAGGGATAAAATGAAAAATACCTCCATAGAGATATTTTTCCTCATTTTCCTTGAGCCCCTATAGAACAGGTGAAAGATAAACACAGTAATAAATAAAACAAGATATTTTTGACAACATCATCCAACTAAAAAGGAGGAATATAACATTTACCTGAAAATGTCTGCAAGATCTTTTGCTCCGATATCTTCAAGAATATCCTGAATGATGGCAGGATTACTAGCTTCTGAAGATGTTGGTAAAGGTGGGCATTGTGCATGTCCATAGTAGCCTATCAAAATCCCCAAAATAAATAAACTTGTAGCGGTGCAAAATAGCTTAAATATCCAGCAAAAGCTGCAGCAATTGGTCTTTGGTGGATGCTGGGTCCGGTGAGAAATATAATCTGGATCTTCCTGGAGCCTTTCAAATCTTCCTTTGGGAGATACTGATGGCTGAATGCACTCCGAGTCAGCATTTTGCATACTCTCAGTTGGTTGACGGACTGCTCCATCCAAAGTAAAATGGTCAAAGCTCAGCTCCTCCAGTTCTTTCTCCATGTCCCATTCTAACTCCAGGGAAGTGGCTTGAAGGTCTTCACTATCTAAATACTGTGCATTCTGGTCCGCATGGACTTTTTGGTAAGCCATCCTTTTACCTATTGCATTAAATATGGATAATTACAAGGTCTACAAACTAAGATGAAAGCTTGAAGAAGCAGGATATATTCAGCCTTGAGAAGAAAAGACCAAGGAAGAAGAATAGGATAGCCATGTTCAAATGCCTGGAAAAAAATAACACAGAGAAAGGTCAAAACAGGATATAAAATAATAATAAAAAAATTACACTACAAGAAGGCAGATTTTTGTTGAGGTAAGGGGAAAAAACCCTTCCTAAATAAAAGAGCAGTTTATTTGCTCATCAGATCCATACAGCCACCTATAAAACTATAAAACTAGTTAAAACAAATAAAACAGTCATTAAAAACAAATAAATACATTAAATACATAAATTAAATAAATTAATAAATATAAATAAATCAATTATCGGATATACAGTATCCAGTCTAATGAAAAGACTGATTAGGGGAGACATGATAGCAGTGTTCCAATATTTGAGGGGCTCCTATAAAGATGAGGGGGTCACGTTACTTTCCAAAGTACCAGAAGGCAAGACAAGAAACAATGGATGGAAACTAACCAAGGAGAGAAGTAACCTTGAACTAAGGAGAAATTTCCTAATGGTTAGAGCAATCAACCAATGGAATAGCTTTCCTCAAAAGTTGTGGGTGCTCCATCACTGGAGGCTTTCAAAAAGAGACTGGACAACTGTTTGTCTGAAATGGTATAGGGTGTCCTGCTTGAGCACTGGGTTGGACTAGAAGATCTCCAAGGTCCCTTCCAATTCTATTATTCTATGTTCTAAATATTAATACAATTAATGTTGTTAACATAAACTTTATAAAATTATAATATATAAACACAAATGAATAAGACAAATATAAGTAAGTTAAATGAGGTATCAATTACTCAAGCATTTGGGTAGGTGGATGTGTTAAAAGAGAATGTGTAATCAGTTATTGGGATGATAATAATTTGGATTCCCAAATGGAGCAGATTTTAGAAAGGGTGGCCAAAATGGCTCTTCCTACTCTAAGATTCTAAATGTCAATGGCATGTTTCCTTTCATATCTGAGTCATCTCAGGCAGCAAAATGGACAGCATAAAATTTAATAAATAAATAAAACATCTCTTTTTTTAAAAAAAATCCTTAATATGCAGGTGGAATATAAGCACCACTAAGAGATATGTGTCAGGATCAATGGTGGGATTCAGCTGGTTAGCACCACTTCGGCAGAACCGGTAGCTAATTTTCTGTTGCCCAAGGCCAGAATGGATTTCCAGAAGTGGCATCCACACAGAGAACTGGTTCTTCACATATCTGAATCCCACCACTGGTCAGGATCCTTTCCTGAATGGATGGATTTCATTTTTACAGAATTGCCAAACATTTAATTGACAATATATATATGGAAACATCCAATTACTTTATTTTAAGCATTTGCTAATTCAGATATCAACCAGTTCCTTTCTGCTATTATTGTGACCAATAATGTAATTTCACCTATTTTTCTTATTTACTGAACTAATCAACCATTTTTTTCTTTCATTCTTGGTCCATTTCCTTATGTCTCACATGCTTTAAATTGTGAGTAAAAAGAGAAATACTCCTTTGAAATGATCTTGATTCCTTATGACTAACTGAAGATATCCAAATATATTCATGGAGGAGGAGGAGGAGGAGGAGGGAGGAAGAGGAGGAGGAAGGGAGAAGTAACAAGTATATTGTACTGGTAAAAATAAACAATCTTATTTAAGGCCCCTATAAATATGAAACATTGTCTTATGATAGAAATTTCAGAATGACATTCCTTTATCTTCAATTCCTCAATAAAATGCTGTCTTCTGGATATGGTTCTTTTTTTTTGTTTGTTTGTTTTTGTAACCTGCATATAGGCATATGGTTCTTTATGACTGATCAGTACACCTGGAATTTATTCTACAGATCTGATTTTGGGGGGTTCATACTTTTCCCTCTTCTTTCACCTGCCTCCTATTTTAGATGTATGGAAACCGTGTCTCAACTGATATCCTTCACAAAAATGGCTTCTATAATGACAAAGTGGAAGGGTGGCAGTTTTAGCCTGTTTCTATCTTAACAGACATGCCCTCAACGTAGAACTTTGACCTCTAATCTAAACATTCAAAATCAAGTCTCAACAAATCATTTCTAAATTGACTTCAGGGATGAGGCCTTGTTTTCATTCATAGTTTTGACTATAGAGATTCCATCACATAAGCAGTGGCAATTTAACGCTTTTCAAAAAGAAGACAGACCCATCAATTAGAATGTAACGCAAATACAGATATTAACTCCTCAAAGGGGCCCTTATCTGAATGACACCTGCAACACAATCCCCATCTCTTTTTTGTAATCTAGTAATAGTTTCCCGCATCTAAGATCCATCTTCCAGGTAGCTTCATGAATGAGATAAACTTTGTTAGACACTAGCAGCACAAAAAGGGAGGAGTAAACTCTTCTCCAAACAGGAGAGAAAAAAAGATTACAAAGCATATCAAAAATAAACAGAGACGACCAACTAAAATGAAGGTGGAAAAAGCATCCAAAACTGTCTCAATGCATAGCACCTAATTGGACAATCCTAATTCTTTACAAAGACTTCATTATTTCAAAATCTGTGTCCTCAAACACACATACACAACAGCTGAACAGATCTGCAGATTCCCCACCAGCAACATAATCATTGTTTCAAGTCTAAAGTGGTTTATAGAATGGCAAGCTAATTGTGTTCACAGCCTGGAGTTCAATCCTGATGGCTTCAAGGTTGACTCAGCCTTCCATCCTTCTGAGATCGGTAAAATAAAGATCCAGATTGTTGGGGGCAGTATGCAAATAATGCTTACCTTGTAAACCACCCAGACAGTGCTGTAAAGCAGGGGTCTACAAAATTGGCCCTTTTATGACTTGTGGACTTCAACTCCGAGAATTCCTCATCCAGGCACGCTGGCTGAGGAATTCTGGGAGTTGAAGTCCACAAGTCATAAAAGGGCCAAGTTTGAAGACCCCTGCTGTAAAGCATTATGGAGCAGTATATAAGCCGAAATGCTATTGCTACATTCTCAGATTATGTAATTCCTTAATGTTGGGGTCTCCTTTTCTCTTTGCACATACAGTACATGTGGTAGGCAAAGACTTTGTTTTTGAATATTTTTCACTTTCACTGAGAGTGATTCTTGGTGGTTTAGGTTTTGCCATTCTTTCATGTTGTTTCCTCTCTATTTTTTGTCATTGTTAGATTGATCCTTTTTATGTACAGTTTACAACCCCAATTGAGCCTAAAATTGTTGTTAAATGAGACATTTGTTAAGTGAGTTTTGCCCCATTTTATGGCCTTTCTTGGCACTGCAGTTGATAAGTTAGTAACCTAGTTGTTAAATGAATCTGGTTTCCCCATTGACTTTGCTTGCCAATAGGTTGCAAAAGGTGATCACATAACCTTGGGACACAGCAACGGTCATAAGTATGAACTAGTTGCCAAGCATCTGATTTGTGATCACATGACCATGGGGATACTTCAAAAGTCGTAACTGGAAAAACCAGTCATAAATCACTTTTTTCAGTGCCGTTGTAACTTTGAACGGTCACTAAAGTCAAGGATTACTTCTATATGATTGTAAACTGGTCTGGGACCTCTTGAGAGTTGAATTTATGAAAAGAAAATGTTTTACTACTTCCCAATTATGCAGTGCGTGTGTGCTTAAGAGTGCATGCTATAGTAGATACGAGTCAGACATGCAAACTTCCAAATTGCCTCTTTTATCAGAGTCAGAAGTAGAAATCAGAATTCCATAACAGCTGCCTTCAGATCTCTGCATATTAAATAGAACGCAACATGTACAATCAAATGGTCTAAATGTACATGCTAAATGAAACAAAATAAATAAACATCAATTAGCAGGAAACCAAGTGTGGTACATTGATAACTGCTTTAAAGAAAATTTCAGGCACTAGGATGCATGCAAACCAGTAATGTTAACCAATCTATCCATGCAAGCATTTCATAAAAATTATATTGAATTCCATGAAATGATTGTTAGCCTGAATCAACAACTTTTTTTAATTGGATAGGCTTTCCCAAACCGGATCAAGATTTCCTAGACAGTTCTTATTTCCACTAGGAGAATTTGTCATTACCAAAAGCTCTTTCAGAAAGGTTTTTCAGATAGATGCCTGCATTAGGAATTAGTAGGATACCTCTAAAAGTGTTGATGTTTTCTCAAAATTCTCATTTCCTTAAATTCCATGGATATTTTACACTGAGATTTCTGTTTGTTGTCATATCTTTTTCTTCAGGAGAAGCTAATCAACTCAGAAAATGGGGGAATATCCCTATCATTTTAATTCTTGAAGCTCACCTAAATATTTCTTAAATTCTTCAACTGAACAAAAAACCTCCACATTTCTCTCAAAAATTTTATTTATTGATCTATCTAAATTAAGGGGAAAAAATAGCTATTTCCTGCAAAACACTGGCCCAAGGCTTACCAAATAATTCAGGGGTCTTCAAACCTGGCCCTTTTATGACTTGTGGACTTCAACTCCCAGAATTCCTTAGCCAGCATGCCTGGCTGAGGAATTCTGGGAGTTGAAGCCCACAAGTCATAAAAGGGCCAAGTTTGAAGACCCCTGAAATAATTTGTAACTTGCTCTTAAGGCCCATAATCCTTTGCTTTGCCCATAACACTCATTAAAACTTATCAGCATTTGAATATTATTTTAATGCCAATTATGCCAACTGCACTTCAGACATTACACGCTGATAAAGAAAAAATAAGCAACAACAACAACAACAAAAGTAACAGTGGTGACAGTTTCTCTTCATCATATCCACCAAGGTTATTCTCCCATTTTCTTTCTTCCCAAACTTGGTCCCCAATCTGAATTTTTATCAGTTTTACCAATTGTGTCTCTGTGTATTTTTGACCACTATAATAAAGTATTGTCCAGATTAGTTTTATATACATTTAAGCAGCAGACAGATATGAGCTTTCTTAGGTTTAATTTTCTTAGCTATGAATAGTGAATCAAACAGAGCAATCAGCTACTTGCATTTTCACGTTCATGTATCTGAATATGTGGCACTTTTTCATTCTTATACAATAACTTTCTGAATGTATTCAAAAGTGTGTCAACTCATGTAGGT